TTTCCTCAGTTTCAGTTACCTTTGGTCAAAGATGCTCCAAAAATATTAAATAGAAAATTCCAGAAATAAATAATTCATAAGTTTAATTTGCTAGCCATTCTGAGAAGTATGATGAAATTTCACTACTCTGTTCTGCCCAGGAGTTGAATCATCCCTTTGTCCAGCATATCCGTGCTATATACTCCACCTGTCCATTAGACACTTAGTAGTGGTTTCCTATCAAACTGAAAAAAAATATATAAAGTTCGGTAGTATCCATGATTTCAAGCATCTACTGGGGATCTTGGAGCATATCAGTCACAGATGGGTGGCAGGGGAGACTACTGTACTCTAGATTAGTATTTAAGAAAAATAGGCTATTCCAATTCAGTGGGTCTCATTTTTAGGGTTTCTTGATAGCATATAGAATCTCACTGAAATATTATATTGAATTCTATGTTGATTCATCTTTTATATTTGGGGATGTGTGATCACAGAATGTGGGATTACTTCAGTAGCTCTTGTTATTAATGAAAGAACTGACCGTGAAAATGAACAGCCTTTTTTGAAATAGAACATTAACTCCATAATAGATATTTGTATAAATGTACTATATTTTCCCATAGAATTGAAATGCTCATACATAAAAGTAAGTACTCTTTTAATTACCATCATGATATTATCAATATTGTAATTAATATTTACTGAATGCTTATCATGTCAGATGCTAATCTAGGCACTCTCTATGTATTATTTTATTCCTCAGAACACTATGAAGTAGGGATAATTATTATGTCAATTTTACAGATGAGGAAAATGAGGTTTAGAAATATTAAGTGTCTCATACAGGATGAATATATTTATAGCAATACCAATTCAGAGATATTTTTCCTAGCATTTTATTTGTACAACTAAACAATGATTTAGTCTCTTCCAGAGAAAGAAAGATAGCTACACAGAACTTAACAATCTTAGTAAGCATACGAATCAGTAGGCTTCTTATTAAAATGAATTCTACATTTTGATATATTTTCTGGATGAATCTGATGTATGTGGTCCAGTGTTGGCAGTTTGAGAAACACAGATCAATGCATAAGATCACTAATAAATAGAGATTTCCTAAATTCTAATACCCAAGGAAAGTCTTAGGAAAGTTTAAAGGTTGAAGAAAATAATTAGTAAATGATTATATAGAGGAGGTTAAAAGGAAAAGAAATGAGATTCAGATATTAGGATTATCTCGACACAATATTTTAAAAAATAGAGGTAAAAACTTTGAGAAAATGTCCAGATTATTAGATCAGTTTTGCTGTACCATGGATACAGGGTCCAGAGCTGTAGTTTGAGGTAACTGTGAAATAAAAATAAGGATCCAAAATGCAGGGAGGTGGGAGACAGGCTTTGAAATTCCAAGCTAAATTTCCTGAACTTCACAATACACCAGTTGGCTTTGACAGTATCACAGGCTATAGTTAAGTGAACAAATTCTTGTAGCTACTTCCTTTGAAGCACGATATATACACTTGCACATGATGTCAAATGCCCCTCCAACTCCAAAAAAAGTATATCTCTGGAACTTGCACATATATTATGTTACATGACAAAAAGGACTTTGGAAATATAATTAAGGTTAAGGACTTTAAGATGGATAGATTAACCTCTATTATCCAGATGGGCCCAAGCAAATCACATGGGCCTTTAAAAGCTGAGAAATTTCCTCACCTGGAATCAGATATGTGTGCAAGAAAAAGGTAGCAGACAGATAGATACATCAGAAAGGGAAATCAGAGAGATTCCCAATGTGAGAAGTATTCAATGCACCACTTGCTGGCTCTAAGATATAGGGCCCACCAGTCTACAGAGAGGAGAGAAACCCACAAGAGCTATGGGCAGACCCCAGCTGATAGCCAGCAGGGAAACAGAGATATCAGTCCTACAACCTTGAGGAACTGGATCTTGGCAACAATCAGAACAAGTTTGGAAGTAAATTTTTCCCAAAGCCTCTAATAAGAGCCCAGTCCACTGACATTTTTATTTTAGCCTTGTGGGACTCTGAGCAGAGAAACCAGCACAGACAACCAGGAATTTTTCACCTACAAAACTGTGAGATAATATATTTTTTTGTTTTAAGCTATTAAGTTGAAAACAAATATATATATTAAAAGATACACAGCACAAAACAATACCCAAGATTCTGCAGCATGATAACCCATTCTTGAATACTACCTGAATGTCTAGTATCCTATATTTTAAGTCAGGACATCCTGAACATAAGTTTAAGTGCCATAAAATATATGAATCCATTTTCCCTGAAGCAAAAACAATGGACATAAATTTAATATTGTATATGTGGAAACAATGGGGAGCTATCAAAATATCTTTAAGTATGAATTCATAAAACCTGACAGCCAAAC